AATTTTTGGTTGGCTAGAAATATTTGAAAATTTAATACAAGGTTTCTCATAAGTTGTGCTCAAAGTGATAAAAAAAAATCCAAAATCGTAAGTCACAATTTTTTTTTATAAGTACTTAAAGTTCAAATTTATACGAAATATGTCAAAATTGTGAAAATTTGCAAGTAATTTTGTGGTTGAAAAATCGTAAAATTTTTTTCTTTTATAACTAAGTTTTGAAAATTTGGTACAAGGTTGTCCATAAGTTTTTCTTTAAATATCTGTAAAAAAAACTCTACCGGACTAAGACAAAAAAATTTTAGGAGTGTTTGAAATTTAAATTTTTACAAAACCGCGTTAAATTAAGGTTTAGCCTCAAACGATTTTTGATATTTGTTATTATTCAAAAAGTATAAGTTATAGAAACTTGAAAATTTTACCAGTTGTTTAAATTGACGTTTTCTTTATGTAGTATAATGATAATAGTATTATGATAATATAACAAAAGTACCAAAAAAAAAAATTTCTGCTTAGGACAATATTAAGGACAGTAATAACTGTACAAAAATAAATTTTTTATCGTTTAAAGTGAGAATTAAATAAAATTTATAATTTTAGCCACAGAATAATTAACGATTATTACACTTACCATTGTATCTACCGTACCGTGTGGTGTGTATACATCTTGCATAAATGTATGTATAGCATCAAATGCAAACCACGATGGCTTAAACACATCTTTTCTCCCAGCACCAGAAACTTTCGTTGTTTTTATTTTTCGTCGATATCCTCTGTAACTCTGGATTAAATTGTTTATTTTTTTATGTATTTCTTCTTTTGGTTTTTTAAATTGTAAGCCTAATTTCTGATATGCATCATTTTTTTTATTTTTCGATTTGCGGTCTGTATCTTTTGGATCCCACAAACATCGATAGTTTTTAAATTCGTCAATAAATGTGAGCACTAGTTCATCATTCCACTCGGACGCCATGGTGACAACTAATTGACGAACTAAATTTGTAACGAAATTACGTAATTCCATATTATGATATTATGATATTATGATATTTGATAACATCCATTTACCTACAAATATCTAATTTTATTTAAAGATAATCAAAGTAATCAGGTACCTAATTAAGGTAATCAAAGTATAATCAAGTGATATGAATTTCCTGTTTACAGGAGAAACGCGAAACAACACGAAAAACAACGAAATACAACGAAACGACACGAAACAGTACGAAAAATATTTTCGTGTCCTTTGATTTCGTCCATTTTACCGCCTCGTTCGCGAAACACTACGAAACCGTTTTCACGAAAAAAATTTTCGTGAAAAAGCTATTCACACTATTCACGAAATTCAACGAAAACGTGAAAACATGAAACGCGAAACGCGAAACATGCATAGTGTGGAGCGGCCTTTAATGAATAATGACAAAAAAAAAAAAAAATGATAATAATAATGATAATAATAATATACACACATATTTAAGCAAAAGGAAGTTCGATCACTGGATGGTTTCTTCCCTCACCCTATTCATGTTTTTTTTAATATAATGTAACACATATTCTTATTATGCCTTTGGGTATAGATTGTATATTTTCTAATAAAATTATAAAAAAAAAAAAATTATATTCGTCGATGTATATTACATACATAATAATAATAGTATAATGTGTTATTATTTTTATTAAATAATTATTATACATCAGTTATTCATATAAGTTAATAATTTTTTTACAGTATATATCCAGCCGTCAAAAAATAATGGTCATAAATTTGTACAAGGATATTTTGATGAAGTACGAAGATATTGTCAATAATTTGTCAGAGGTTCGGGTTTAGGTCGCGAGACAATTAGTAAAACCATCGCTGAATACAGACGTACAAATACGGTTACATCTCAAAACAAAAAGCGCATTAAGTCTCTTCGACAAAATTGATGATTTAGATCGCAATGGATTACGGCAAAAAGTACATTCGTTTTGGTTGCGTCGTGATCGACAAAATATTAATTGCAGTGAACGAAGATCCATCGCTTCCTAATTTAAAACGTACTACTTTGTATAGTACTGTAACGATGGTTACATCGTCACTTATACTTTGTCACCTATAAATGTATAGTCAACATATATACATGTACATATATATTATTATGTACCTTATAAACATAATATATAGAATATGCTGACTAGATATATTGAGCCCCTTCTGTTATGATACCATTGTAAGGCTACTGCCAAATGCGAATATTATGTAAGGGTACGGCAGTTCTCCGTTCTGCGCGACACCGTCATGTGAATAGGAACTCCGGGCTGCCAATAAATTAGTTGTAAGTAAATTAAAAGTAATCCAGCGCCACGGTCGTGGCGCGAGCTAAGTAAAAAAAATAAAAGCGGCGGCACGACAGTGTATATTATCTCGAAGCAGGAGTTTCCCATGAAAACCGTGTAAATTTTGGTGTTTTTTGTCAGATGAGATAATTAATTATCTACTGAATCAATTTATACCTAGTAAATTGCAAAACATAAGGAAAATCATGCAGATGATCCTTTTGTAAAAATCATAAAAATCGTACAGTTAGAAATTAAGTTATTGAAGGAAACGTGAAACATTTTTAATGAAAAATTATATTGAAATCTGGAATCACGGCGGCCGCTTCTAGCGTTGTCGTGCCGACCGGTCCCCACTCACGCTCCCCCACTCACGGTCTCCCACTACGGCCTCACACTATTACGTGTATTATCTATGGCTACGTCACATTTCATTATTACTAATTCATGTTAATATTTTATGTTTCATTTCGTATCGTCGTCAGCCTGCAGTAGACGTGCACGTTCTGTTCTTTGCATTGCTGCTCATAGCGTGTTGTCTAGTCTGTCTTATCTAATATTAAACCATTTAAAATACGTGCATAGTGCATTACATGTTGTCTATTTGTCTCATAGCTTTTAGTTATTGACGCTGGACTTACGCTGTACATGCTTTTTATGTTACGTGTCGTTATTGGCCATTATTTAATTACGCATTAAAGTAATTAGTGTTCGTAAAAATACGAGCTATAAAGTTACGTAAGTATATAGTTCGTAATTAGTGTTCGCAGTATTCGCACTGCGCATACGGCTCACGCTGGACTTGTCCGGTATATTCCGTTTTAAACTGTGTTCGCACCTCCCGTATAACTGACCAATAATTTATATACCGTTCAGTACCTATTACTACGTACTACGTATTATTATTGGCAATCATTGCTGTTAAAATAGTCCGTATTAAATTATTTTCGTACCTAGCGTACGATACACTGGACTTGCAAATTATATATATTTTGTTGCAAAACATTGTGCATTTTCGCTTCTCTAACTAAACATGAATTAATATCGATATTGACATGTTTAAATTGCTATGATGTTAGAACCAATAAAGCACCCAACTATATATTACCTCTAGCAGTTAATAAGAATAAAGTTACAAAGCAAAGAAACAATACTTGAAATTAATTGTAGTAATTGTAGGATCACAGGAAACCATTCGAAAGTAATGAACGTATCTAGTACAAGACAATATTTGTGTATACAATAACAATTATGGAATGAATTACAAGAAAATATGCATAATGTATCATTAATATCTTTGTCAACAACATCTTTAAAAGTTGATGAAAAAACGTATAGAATATGTTCTGCGATTTGTCA